CCAGGACAGCGTGGCGGGGATCTAGAGTAAGCACCAAACGTACTTAACACTAAGACTAATACGCACGTCATCTCCTACATCAGAACATCATCATCGCCAACATAAATAATCATTCTCATGCTCACCATCACAATTACCATTACCGTCACCATCGCCAACAACATCATCATCATCATCATCATCATCATCCTCATCATCATCATCATCATTACCGACTCAACAATTCCCCTTTCATATAACAATCTGCACCATTACTTTCTTTTTACGTAACCAACAAAAACGGGCACCAAAATCAGGACACGGGGGAAAAAAAGAAAAAGAACTTAAAAAAAAAAAAAAGTACCATGACTTGTGGGTTGACATACTGGACGACTCAAAGTCCCTAGGCGAGTGGAGTCATCACAGTACAGAGGGGACAAATAGTTATTTGTGAGGGAGGAGGGGGGGTTGTAGGGAGAGGAAAGTGGAGACAAAAGCAGATAACCAAACATAATGATTGGAGAGCAGGAAAGTTGGAAAAAAATTGTTTAAGACAAACATTTTCCCTCGCTGTCAGGTTTCGAACCCCGGCCCTATTGAATGAGATTCGAACACCGGACCCCTAAACCACGAGAGTCCACCCCCTCCCATCTTTACCCACCCTCTCTCCAAAGCCTTGTTTGAAGAAAACAGCGATTTGATACTGTTTGCAATGATTCCAAAGACGGTGACGATTTGTCAGGAAGTTGTAATTAAACTGATGTACTCATTAAAACAGAAGTTTGAGAAATGGAGCATTGTGGTGTTATCTTCGTGGAGATGATGTAAGTTTGTTCGCACAACGTACATTAATTAACGATGCCCTGCTGAAACATGTGCTATCGTGGAAGGTTTTTGTAATGAAATTATATATGTGAGGCAGCGTGGTGGAATCAGACTCTAGTCAAAATAATCAAAGTGAAGAAACGTGCATTTTTCCGCAAGTTTGTGTGAATTTTTATCAAATTTTTGTTTTTTGGCTTTAATGGCGCAGAAAATGTAATTTTTCAGGTATCGGGGACTCTTAAGCTAAGGAAATAACTAATCTTTGGCGACCGTTTTCTCACTAATTTTACCTCTGAAAACAGGTGACCCCACCTCCTTCATTCACAAACATCTCGACATGTATTCAATATAAATGGATATTTTTTTCATCAAAATAAAGACAAGTGAACAAGCTTTAAGATGATACCAATAACTCTACAAGCCCCAAAATTGACGAGAGCCTGATTCCACCACGCTGCCTCACATGTATTCTAAATGTCGTTCCTATTATCTTTTCATCTCCAGCTATGAGTTAATTCATACGTAAACTACCCCCCCC